CTAATGTTTCGCCAGCACCTGTGACCGGCATCTTCAGAGTGCAGGAGCACAGACAGGAGCACACAGCCCGGAAGACCCACACCAGCCATCTCCTCCTATTGTTTGGTCAACTAAATTCTGACCCTCAGCTCATTTGAAAAGATATTTCAGCTCCAGTATCTGCAATTATTAGTCTTGCTAAATTACTACACCCAAATAAAATATGGTGTCAGGTTTATTCATTTTTATTTACAGATTGTCATCAAATCAGGCTTCAGGTTTTCCAAATTTTGGTGACCTTGTTCAGTTCATTTTGTCCGGATTGTCTGCCAGTAATTGCTTCTCTCAAGTTCTGTTTCATCTGTGATAATGTCCAGCCACCTTGCTTTCTTTTGGCCTCATTTTCAATTGCCATCCGTTTTTCCAAACATCGGTGTCTCCTTCAATGATGCTTATGTGTCCACAGTAATTAGCATTACTTTAGCATCATTATTAGTGCTTCCAGTAAACAGCGTGATTATGCTTCATTGTCTCTATTTCATAGCTTCAGTCACAAATGCTGTGAATTTTTAAGACTAGGAAGATGAGCCTGCCACTTCTTTGCTTATATACTTTGGATTGGTATTGCCTGTTGACATAATTTTAATATTTTTAAAACAATCAAAACTTTGAAGGAGCAATTGAGACTCACCCATTTGACTAAACGTGACCATAATTCCTGGATGACTGAGCAAAACAAGACTCAATTGCTGCTTCCTAGTTCTGTTTGTTTTTTTTAATCCCCCGTTCCCGTTCACAATTTTACTCTGCATTGCAGGATTGCCAAGAAGTCTTCACTTGATTCCAGATTACTATATCAAAAGAAATCAGATCTTCTGTGTAATACTTAGTGGGACATTTTCTTTGTAACACAGGGGATGATTAAAGGGGCCTTGCAGAAAAGTTCTTGGAATTTTGGAACAGTTAGTATAGTTTTTATCATTTTTGTGGGTAGGGAGAGAAAAGAGAGAGAATAGGTGAAAGCCTAAGTAGATGGGAGAAAAGAATTAGAATTGTATAACTCTCTTTGCTGTCATCTAGTGGTCATCTGGATTTTTGCAGCCTTGATGTGGTACATCTAGGTAAAGCAGAGATCATGTGTTTAGCCAGTTTTTTATATCCATGGGTTTACA